GGAAAGGAGAGAACAAGTTCTTGCATAAAATTTTTCTTTGACCTCCACACACCAGTCATTGGATGTGTGCATACATGTTCACACACACATACACACACACACACACACACACACACACACACACACACAAATAAATAAATAAAACAAAGAGGAAAGAAAGAGCAGAAAAACCACAACGGGGGCACAGATCCCCTGAAAGTCCTCATCAGTGCATCATTTGGTCATGGCAATGGCCCGTTCTCCACCTAGAGCAGAGCTCTCTTCAGTGTCTTCCGTTCTTTTTAGGCTTTTGAATAGCTTGTACTGTATTGGATGTGATGATCAATAAATGCAATACTAAATATGTTGTGTTTGGAATCTATCATTGTTTGGTCAATATCTATATTTATTATTAGAGTGGAAAGAGAGAAGGCAAAAAATAAAAATAAAAAAGAGAAAATCTCAGTATTTAAAGGGAAGATCCACTATTAGTGACTTTATATTTGGTGTTGACTGCCTTTTGATGACTTCATGTTTGTATGACACATAAAGTGTCAAATTTTACACTACATTTTTTTCTCCGGAGGAGGGGAAACACTTGCCCGCACATCTGGCTGGCACAACACACAGACACTTTCTGTGTCATACCAACAATAGCCCCCTAATAGCCTTCTGTCTGATTTTAAGATATGAATGTAATGCCAATATTCCTGAAAAATTAATCCATCTATTCTTTAAAGTGAGCACCAGTGATCTTAGTGTAAGCTGTGAGCAACATTCTCAATGAAAAACCAATTAGAGGGGCTGGAGAGATGGCTCAGAGGTTAAGAGCGTTGCCTGCTCTTCCAAAGGTCCTGAGTTCAATTCCCAGCAACCACATGGTGGCTCACAACCATCTGTAATGGGGTCTGGTGCCCTCTTCTGGCCTGCAGGCATACACACAGACAGAATATTGTATACATAATAAATAAATAAATAGATATTTTTTTTAAAAAAAAAGAAAAACCAATTAGAGGAAAATAGATACTATGATCCCTGACTGAGTTTTTAAAATATTGTCTTACAATATTTTAATTTCAGACACATCTGTGTTCACATGGGTTTTAATATATGTATGTGAAGTCTAAGTCTGTAATATTAAATATTTTAATTTTAATTTTTTATTTTTACCATAGCAATAAAAATTAACATTATAAATAATAGTCCACATTTTCTTTGACCTTAGCTCGTAGCAGAGATGAAAAGTAACCAGATTAAATACTAGTCCTGCTCAAACGCAGCTGGAAGATGCCCTGTCACTTCTCTATAGACCCGAAGCGGCCTCCCCGTCCCACTGCCCTTCTGCTAAGTTGGCTCCTCACAGCCGAAGAAGTGAGATGGTCAAAAAGACTAGAAGCATAAAATAAAAAAGATTAAAAAATTGCAAAAAAAGAAACTGTATAAGCCAGGTAGAGAGATGGAAACTAATCTAGTGTATTAGAGCCTAAGAGTTTTAGTCATTTTGTTTTCATTTTTATTATTCTTTGACCACTTCATATACAAATATAATTTTGGTCATTTCATCCCCTATTACATCTAATCCTTCCCACTCCCCAAGAAGCTCTCTTTTTCTCAGCAAGTATTCTTCTATTTTACTGTCTTTTTATTTGTTAATTTTCTCTGTGTGTGTGTGTGTGTGTGTGTGTGGTGTGTGGTATATGTGTGGTGTGTGTATATGGTTTGTGTGTGATGTGTGGTGTGTGTGTGTGGTATATGTGTGGTGTATTTGTGGTGTGTGTGTGGTGTGCGGTGTGTGTGGCATATATATGTGGTTTGTGGTGTATATATGTGGGGTGTGTGTGTGTGTGTGTGGTGTAGTGTATGTGTATGGTGTGTGTGTGTGGTGTGTGTGTGTGTGATATGTGTGGTGTGTGGTGTGTACCTACCTACTGGGTTTAATCTGAGTCACCTGTAAATGCATGGCTGTGGGTTTAAGTACTGGAGCCCGAATAACTAAGTAGTTTCTACAACACTGAAGAAAATGGTTCCCACCTCCCCCAGGAACCTCCAACTGTCTCTATCTCCTCAAAGATGAGTGAGTGACCTCATGAACACTTCTCCCATCTCTTGATCATTTTCTAAGATGAAATGATTTGATACATTCTCCTCCTCTCTTTCCCTTTATCCCCTGCACCTCAACCAAACACTTTCGTCAAACTATACAAATCATTGAAGTAAAAACAAATACGTCCTTCCCATATCAACCTCTTCTCATTCAGAGTGGAAATGAAAACCTTTCAGGATTAAGACAATTATTCTTTGGTTTTATCCTAGGTCCCTGGGCTGTCCAGCCTCTGGGTCCTGCCTCTCTAGGCAGTGTCAAAGATGTGCTCCCTCTCAGGATGTGGGTTTCAAGCTGGTCCAGTCATTGGCCACTTCCATAATTTCTGTGCCACCTTTACCCAGATTATCTTCTAGGCAGAGTAAATTGTAGGTCAAAGGTTATGTGGCTCGTTTGGGGTCCCACTCTCTTCCCTGGACATAGTGACTGGTCACAGAGGATGACTGGTTAAGGCTCTGTATCTCCCATGGCTGGGAGTCTTAGGTCAGGTCACTCTCAGAGATGCCTGGGAGTTTCCATTTGCACTAGGTTTCTATCTCATCCCAGAGATGCCCCAAGATTCCAGTTGTCTTTCCCAGTATTCTCTCCCTCTATCCTCCCTCAACCTGATCCCTCCTGTTTCCACTCCCGCCCCATCCAGCTCCACCTCCCCTGTCCACCTGTGATATTTATTCCATTTCTCCTTCCCAGTGAGATCCATGTGCCTCCCCTTGAGCCTTCCTTGTTACTTAGCTTCTTTGGATTTGTGGATTAAAGTATAATTTTCCTTTCTTTATTATAACTAATATCCATTTATAAGTGACTGTATACCATGTTGATCTTTCTGGGTCTGGGTGTCCTCACTCAGGATGTTATTTTCTAGTTCTGTCCATTTACTGACAAACTTCATGACGTCATTGTTTTTAACAGACGAGTAATAAATAAATACTCCATTGTATAAACATATCACATTTTCTTTATCCATGCTTTGGTTGATGGACATCTAGGCTGCTTCCAGTTTCTGGCTATTATGAATAAACATGCTGTGAGCATTGTTGAGCAAGTGTCTTTGTGGTCTGGTAGACCGTCCTTTGGGAATATACCCAGGAGTGATAGAGGTGGGTCTTGAGGTAGGTCGATTCTCAGTTTCCCGCCATATTGATTTTCAAAGTGACCAAAACAAAATCCTAAGGATAGTCATAAATTTTTGCTGGAGAGGCTTCACCCAGCAACTGACGGAAACAGGTGTAGAGATTCAAAGTCGAACATTAGAAAAGAAAGGGGAAGGATTATGGGAACCAGAGGAACCAAGAACAACACAAGAAATCTCACAGAATTAACTAATGTGGGCTTCTAGGGACTCACAGAGACTCAAGCACCAACCAGAGATCTTGCGGGACTGACCTAGGCCCTCTGCACATATGTTACATTTCTATAGCTTGGTCTTCTTGTGAGTCTCCTAACAGTGTGAGCAGGGCCTATCTCTGACTCTTGTTACCTGCTTTGGGAATCTTTCCTCCTACTGGGTTGCCTCATCCAGCCTCCTTAGGAGAGGAGATGCTAGTCTTACTTCAACTTGATATGCATGGTCCAGTGATATACATGGGAAGCCTGCTCTTTTCTGGGGAGAAAGGAGGAGGAGTGGATGGGGAGTGGGAGAGAGGAGGTTTGGGGTAGGGACTGGGAGGAGAAACTGTGATTGGGCTGGGCAAAATAAATAAATAATAAAAAAGACAATTATTCTTTCCTTGGATATCATCAGTCAATATTTAGTTTAGTTTCACGTGTCAATATATTTTTTAGTGTAGCCAAGACATCAGACCTGAAATTACTGTCCTTCATTTGGAAAAAAGAAATTGACGTTCGCTGGGACACTGAAATACACAGGCCATTCTGATATCCTCACGGGAAGAAAGTTAAATGGTAATTACGCCGGGTAACTGCAGTGAAGACTTCTAGCCTCCTGGACCTGCCCTCTTCACTGCAGCCCTCTTGAGAGCAGAAGCAAACCTACATAAGCAGGTTTGTTAATCCTCTGCACTGGACTTTCCAGAACTTCCTGCATCACACCTACCAAGCCACCAGAAGAGGATCAATGAAGTGAAACGAGCATTCTAAGAAACAAAAGGTACCACATCATAAAAAGAATTGGAAACATACTGACCATTTTTTTCCCTAATACAAATGTTTGGGGATTAGAATGTGTTATGCATAGGTTATAACAGAAAAAGGTAGAGTTCCGTTTCCGTAACTTGAAAATAATTATTACAGTATTCCTGTGAAAGGCTTTAATATTTCCATTAAAATTTGTTCGGTAGCATTTACAAGCTTCTGTGTGACATATAAAATGCTTTTACTTTGTTCAAAAATTATATAAGGCATGATTCAATAATTGTAAGGTATTTCGGTAACGCTAAGACACATTTTCTTCTTTGGCATCTTATCTTAACAAAAATAACATGTACTATTGAAATCACTCCAGATGTTGTGTATTATTTTCATATCTTCCCATGTAAGCAGCATCTACTAAAGATTTTCTGTCACTCCTTGCTTACCAAAACTGCTCCCTTATTCCAAACACACAGAATGCCCACTCAGGAAATGTCAGATCTCTATGATCTTAAAGAGTTCTTGTCAATTCAATGAGTGTACACACAGCATGGAAACATTGTGAAGATGCTTCTTTCGGGGAATGGCCTGATTTTTCGTTTCAAGTTCGTTTCCAGGAAGTGAGAACAGGACTGGCTTACAGATTACTTTTATTTTGACAGACTGAGGCCATAAATACTTTTGCTGCCCAGATAAAACAGTAATAAATCAGACAGAAAGTGATGAAGGAGGTTCACTGGAAAAGGGACCAGGAGAGCTAGATTTTAATACTGTTCCTCCTGTGCAGCTGCAGTGGCTACTTCAAGATCTGAGGTATTTCATACGTGTGGAATAGCTGGGGCCATGCAATGAACCAAACAGATGCTTGGTATGCTGGCTGTAGTAATTTTTGTCTGTGATCCCAGCATTAAGGAGGCTGAAGAAGGAGGCTGCCCTGGGTATCAAACCAGCTCTCATTACAGAGTAAGACCCTGTCCCCAAAGCAAAATAGAACAATATAAAAGAAGGATTTGGGGCAAGTAGTTTGAAAACTTTCAGATGACCAAAATTTTTGCTGTTGTCTGGGATTTGTTTGTATTTGAGGGAGAGGCAGGAAGAAAGGGTTCGTTTGCTATGTTTTAAACAGTGTTTTCTGTTGTTCAATTATCTTAATATTTTCTAAGACAGATTGCTGAATGCCATGAGTCAGAGTGCTTTACTAATTAGGTTACAATGATGTGTTGGAGCTAGCTTTTTACTATTTAATTTAGCAAGTGATTCCTGCCTTAAAGATGGCTTTGTTTTGTGTTATTAGGGTTAGCAAGTAAATGGAATGCTATCTCTTTTCCTTAGAAATCTACTTTAAGACAAGGCACAGTCAGAACTAGACTCACTGCTCTCTAATTTCATTGGTTACATCAATAATTTTGTGAGATTAATTCCAAGAGGGGAAGTTTTGTTGTTGTTGTTGTTTACTTTTTTTTTAAAAAAATAACATCTAACCTCTGCCTTTAATTACAGCACTTGGGTGGCAGGAGGAATTTTGAGTTCAAGGGCAGCCTGATCTATATAGAGGGCTTCAGGAGAGTCAGGACTACACAGAGAAACTTTGACTTGAAAACAAGCAAACACACACACAGAAACACAGACACACAGACACACAGACTCGTAGACACACACACAGGCTTCTGGAAGATAATATCGTTCGGACTTCTTCTTCTTCTTCTTCTTCTTCTTCTTCTTCTTCTTCTTCTTCTCTTCTCCTTTTTTTCTTTGAAACAGAGTTTGTCTGTGTAGCAGTTCAGGCTGTCCTGGAACTAGCTTTGTAGACTAGGCTGGTCTTGAACTCACAGAGATCTGCCTTTCTCTGCCTCTTGAGCGCTAGAATTAAAGACATGCATCACCACAACCAGGCTAGAGTAGATATCTATGAGACCGTGTGGAGACCACTATTAAAGGTGCAGTGTGAGGGGCTGAAGGGAGGGGAGCCTACATCAGAATTTCCATGGAAACAGATGTTGAAATATACACTTGATATACCCGCAGGGCCGCAGACTGACCTGCCTGTCAGTCAAGGCGTGTTTTCTAGACTCTCCCCTTCATCCCCCGAAAAAGGTAAGTCTGATCCTTATGAAAGATATGTTTCAATAGCTTCTTTGCTTCTCACTCCATGTCTAACACATTCTCCCACTCTTAGTTTTAGTATATCATTTCTGCTCTATTAGTTTCCAAACAAAGCAACATTTCATGTAAATTATAAGAAAAGCTCACTATAAATCTCTCTTCCTTCCTGCCGTGCTCTGTGGAACAGAAGCTGCTCAGCCCATCCTTTGTAAGCACCTGGCATCTAAAAATTGGCCTACACCTACCAGCTTTTCAAAACTTGTTCAGAAAATACACTCCCGCCCATTGTCAACAAACACGGCTAGTGTATGAACTGGGAGTTGTTGCTGCTTTTTATTTTTGATGTTATGAGTATAAGCCCCACACATAGTTATAAAGTAAACTTATGGGAGAAATGCTTCCCTTGTCTCTACCTTAGCTGTCAGTGTGACACTTGAATATGGTCAACTGACCGCCAGCTCGGCAGCAATCTTCACGTGGTGTTTCTTGTTCTAGCCTTCTTCAGTGTTGACAATAGAGAATGAAACAGAAAATATCGAGCCACAAATCTTAATAAATGTACTTTATCTTTCCTAGTACATTTCACACCATTCATGCTTTATGACGAAGTATTAATATAGTTTATGAAATTACTCATAAACTTATCCTATCACCCTGTTGCTTTTAACTTAGCATATTTAACAGAAATCAACACAAATCTCTTGGGACAAAATTGCCTTTAAGATTCAGAATGTTTTGGAGTCTGTATGTAAAAACAGAATTTAAAACTGAGAAGTTGTGCCTAAAGATACTGACTCATTCGTCTGTGTATTTGTTTCTGAACTGTTTTTCTCTGGAACTCAGCATGTAGCCCAGTCAGGTTTGAGATTCTGGCAACCTTCCTGCCTCAGGCTGTGGAGTGGTGGACTGAGCCACCACTCTGTATTTTGAGACTTTTTTAAATGGGTTCTATAGAACTCAGCATTATTTTCTGGCCTGTGGAACTAGAAATAAACAGAGAATCATAGTTAGTGCTAGTTCTAGCTCCTGAAATTAGAGAATTGGCTAGGAGAATGGCAGTGTCTGTATTACTCAGTGAGATGCACAAACATTTGCTTTCTGTGTTAGCATTCTGGCTCACAATTTTTATTTTGAGCATAGTTTACAATACTTTCATTTTTAAGACTAAGGAAATTAGCTTATGCAGTTGGAGTTCAGTGCTATGTCACTATGTCTTTTGCCGAAATGAAGGTGTTCAGCAAATTTTCAATAGATTTTAATTGCAGAAAAACATCTTGCATTACATATTTGACTTTGGACACATGAATGTGTCTGCAGACTTGCTAACTTTATCAGCTTGAATAGAGAAATAAAATATCCCAGTGGTAAACTGATTACTTATAAACAGTTTTCCTTGACAATATGTTATTTCTGGTGCCTAAAATAGCTATAGAATTTTTGCATGTGAAGAATTCAAGCTAATGAACAAATACACAGGAAAAAACTTTGCAGTTTGACTTAAGATCTTGCATATTAAGTGTTTTTATGGTGAGAGATATGTAAGGTTACTATAGTTCAAGTTCTGGGAATGAGGTTGCTTATGTTAAATGTCAACCAAAAAATTATTGGAAATCTTCCAGTTCATTACAGGAATAAAACAGTATTTAGGGAAACACATGATGAGTAAAGGGGATAATGGATAGACAAAAATAAAAACATCAACACAGGGAAGTATAAACAGTTGAAGCTTTTCATTTTTCTTTTGTGGCAACTAACTCGGAAAATAAACACAGTAGGTATAATTTTGAATTTTTGAATTACTGATATTTAGAGTGAATTAATGCAGAAGACTTCGAACATTGCAGTACTCGTGGCAGGTGAAGTTCTCTGTGATCATTTGTAAAAAAAAAGAAGAAGAAATCCCGACATCCTCCTGGACAGGAATTGAAGGATAAAACACCATGGATCTAGTGTACATTCCCGAAGACTTATCCAGCTGTCCAAAGCTTGGGAACAAAACCTGCCCTCCCACCAATCGCTCTTTCCGTGTCCGTGTGATAATGTACTCCTTTATGACGGGAGCCATGGTTATCACCATCTTCGGGAACTTGGTGATAATGATTTCCATCTCACATTTCAAACAGCTCCACTCTCCCACCAACTTCCTCATCCTCTCCATGGCAACCACGGACTTCCTGCTGGGTTTCGTCATCATGCCTTACAGCATGGTGAGATCAGTGGAGAGCTGTTGGTACTTCGGGGACAGCTTTTGCAAATTCCACGCCAGCTTCGACATGATGCTCAGCCTGACCTCCATCTTCCACCTGTGCTCCATTGCCATCGACCGGTTTTATGCGGTGTGTTATCCTCTGCACTACACCACCACCATGACGGTGTCCATGATCAAGAGACTGCTGGCCTTTTGCTGGGCGGCCCCAGCTCTTTTTTCTTTTGGCTTAGTTCTCTCAGAGGCCAATGTTTCTGGTATGCAGAGCTACCAGATTCTTGTCGCCTGCTTCAATTTCTGTGCACTTACGTTCAACAAATTTTGGGGGACGATACTATTCACTACCTGCTTCTTCACGCCTGGCTCCATCATGGTTGGTATTTATGGGAAAATTTTTATTGTTTCCAAACGACATGCTCGAGCCCTCAGCAGTATGCCCGAGAACACAAAAGGAGAAGCAAGGAAAAACCTGTCTAAGAAAAAGGATAGGAAAGCAGCTAAGACCCTGGGCATCGTCATGGGGGTATTTCTAGTGTGTTGGTTGCCTTGCTTTCTGGCTGTTTTGATTGACCCGTATTTAGACTACTCCATACCCATCATAGTGCTCGATCTTCTGGTCTGGCTTGGGTATTTCAACTCTACTTGCAACCCCCTCATCCATGGCTTTTTCTACCCGTGGTTCCGCAAAGCTCTTGAGCATATCCTGTCAGGAAAAATATTTCTTTCCAATTCAGAAACTGCAAACCTCTTTCCTGAAGCACACTAAGAAAAAAAATAAACCACTATGAATCTGAATCAAATACAGGAAGTAACACTATTTTGATCCTTACAAATCCAGGTATGGTGGTTTGAATGAGAATGCCCCTGTTAAACCACATGTTTGAATACTTGGTCCCAAGTAATTAGTATTAGTAAACTAATAACTAATACAGTTAGTGAAACTGTTTTGAGAGGATTAAGAGGCGTGGCCTGGCTGGAGGAGTGTCACTGGGGGTGGGCTTTGGGTTTCCAATAGCCCAGCCATTCCCAGTTAGGTCTCTCTCTGTGTCTAGAGCTTGTGCACCAAGATGTGAACTCTCAGCTACTGTTCTAGGGGCATGCCTGGCTGCCTACTGCCATGCTCGCCCTTTGAAACTGTGAGCCCCCAATAAACCGTTTCTTCTATAAGTTGCCTTGGTCATGGTGTCTCTTCACAGCAGTAGAATAGTGACTAAGGTACCAGGTCACGGCAAACACTGGTCTATCCATGACGTTTCAGCAACTGCAGCTCTGTGAGCTACCAAAGCTCCTTCCCATGATTTTAACTGGTTAATCGAGACATTCATTGGCTAATTAAGTCTGCATCCAGAGTGCAGTTATCTCTGACTGCTAAAAAACAACAATAAAAAACCATACAGAAGAAATATGAAGTGTCATATACCCACAAGACGAAGACTGACTTCAAAATTAAGAATTTAAAGTGCTATCAGTTTTGGATTCTGTCTAATTGTGCTTAGAAATTCAAGGGAAGATTGGTAAGATTCTTCAGAGCTCTTAGCGAACTGCTTTATTTGACACAATTCTCTTAAATACCTTAGCTCCGATATAGGTGCTGGTTTCCTCTCTGACCTTCTCCACCCATCCTAGACAGATTGCATTAAGGATCCCCTTTGCCCAGGGTTTCCATAACATTTACCAGTGGGAAACAGGAGGAGGGGGTCAGTGGGTAGAGGATGAGTGAAAGGAGCCAAGCTTTCCACATAGGTATCTTCCTGCAAATCTGCCCCAGGGCTGGCCGTAGTCCTCAGGACAGGCCATCCGGTGTCCACACAGCCACCTGTGGAAATTCCGCTACTGGGCCCTTCCATTGCCACTCTGGTCCAGCATGAATGCCAAACAGCCATTGGCTTTTGGTACCAGACTGTTTCTTGCTGTTTCCCTTAAACCAGTGGCTACGTTTGGCTTTGTAAATAGTTAAATGTTCCTCAAGCTGCAGGGTGGTGGCACTATTTGTTCCCTGTGGAACATCTCAGGAACTGGGCTTCTCGCTGTGCCAAGGGCAAGTTTTGAAAGTCCTCCCACAGGGAGCCCGTTCTGTGTTGCCTGCACTTTTCTGTGAGCACGCTTTCCCGAACCGAGCCCACGAGAATGGATTAATATCCTAAGGGTTGAAACCCACAGACACAGGAGACCGGCTCATTCACCAAAAGAGCAAATGGCAACATTATTAAGCATAAGTCGGGTATATATACTGTGGGGCAGAAGGACACCAGCCCCCCCATCAGGAACAGGCAAAGAAAAAAAATCAGGCGGCCGCGCCCAAGGTCAGAGAACAGCTGATCAGGGAAAGAGGAAGTCAGGTGGCCGTGCCCAGGGTCAGAGAGCAGCTGCGGGCAGGAACCTAGCTTGTGGTGAGAACCTTGCTTGCAGGTGGAATTACCATAACAGAAGAGGGAGAGTTCTCTCTAAGCTATACCATTGGGCTGTAGGTGAAATTATCATAACAGGAGAGGGCGAGTTCTCTCTAAGCTACACCCTCAGGCTGGTGCAGCTGAGCAGAGAAACCAGGAAGCAGAGGAAGAACGGCCCTGCATAGCACCTCAAGCAAAAGGGGGAAAGACCTGTGTACCTACAGTTCTGTGCAAGGCGGACTTCCTTGTGTCCTCTTTCTCTAAAGCGACCTGCTCACTTCCCATCTGTGAAACCCTCACCCTTCTTTTCTGTTTGCTACAACCCTCTTCCATGTGAGATCCATTTACACATAGAAACTTCCAATATTCCTGTTGTATAAGTGTAAATAAAGATTCCTCAAGGTAATTTTGGCTTTTAAAATTAAGACTTCACTTATAAAACAATATTAGAAAATGTAGCTTTTCCATAAAGTTTCATTTAATACATCTTTAGCTTATAAATGGAATGTCTAGTTATACATTTGTGATTTTTTTTGAAAACCACTTTAAATGTAATCATAGCCTAGTTACTGACTTAACATTTTATTTGTATTTTTCAGATTAAAATGTTTATGTTCTGTTTTTGATCATTTAATTGGAAAACTAGTGCATTATAAATCCATGCTCAAGCTTAGATGATACTTTTGAACTGATGACTTAGAAATATGCTACTTTGAGAGTCTTAATAATTATATTGTCCTATAGGTTTCAGGACTTCAAAATGTTGTGTGCTTTTTTTCTTGTACTTTGGAGTCTTTGCAAATGTGAATAAAAGGGTTCTTTAGATACATTTCATAACCATAAAATTTTAAATTAAACTAAGTCTGGTTTAAGTGAATAAAAATGTCAAAATGGAGATTTTTCAAAAATGTGATTTTTTTTGAAATCTAATACATGTGCATCATAAGTTCAAAATGACTGAAGCCTGTGTGCTAAAGAGAAAATCTGTCCATTATCCACTGTCCTGGTCCTCCAGATTACTTCCTCAGGGCAGACAGGCCTTACAGATGTGTAATAAACACAGGAACAGTCAGGGAAGACACACCTTACAGATATGTAATAAACACAAGAATAGTCAGATGCACTCACACCTTACAGATATGTATTAAATACAGGAATAGTTAGAGACAGACACACCTTACAGATATGTAATAAACATAGGAATAATCATAAGCCATCATGAGTGAAAACATTGTTCCTATACTTTAAAAATGGTTAAATAACATTTATTTTGTTCTTTATCTTGGTTGCTTCATACAGTATTATATCTCAGAGATTTATTATATATAAGTAAACAGAAATCTGTGTGGAGTTTGTTTTTGTTTTTGTGTTTTGTTTTTTTGAGACAGGGTTTCCCTGTGCAACATTCCTGGCTGTCCTGGAACTCACTTGGTAGACAAGACTGATTTTTGAACTCACTGAGATCCTCTTGCCTTTGCCTCCCAAGTGTGGGGATTAAAGGCTTGTGTCACCACCACCCAGCAAACTGTGTTTTTAAGATTGTGTAATGTTTTGTTTTTGAATGTCTCATATTCTATTTAACTGCTTGTTGCTTCTGATCTCTTTCTGCAGCAGACATTCTTGTATATAGAATTCTTACATGAGGAATCCTTAAGGAATCTGTCAGTCAGTGCTTTGTACTTTGATTTTTTGTTTTGTTTTGCTTTAGTTTCTTCAGACAGAGTCTCACTGTGTGTAGCAAGAGGGCCTGCTTGTTGGGGTTTTTGTCCTGCCCAGTTTTCACAGCCAGTAAGGTCCCAAAGAAAATCACACAGAGGTCTACATAAGCTATAAACTGATTGACCCATTAGCTCAGGCTTCTTATTAACTCTTACAACTTATGTTAACCTATTATTCTTGTCTATGTTAGCCATATAGCTCAATACCTTTTTCAGTGAGGCAGGTCACATCCTGCTTCTTCTGTGATCTGGGCAGGACTGCAGAGGGAGCTTCCTGCTTCCCAGAATTCTCCTGTTCTTATTGCCCCACCTCTACTTCCTATCTGGTTGTCCCACTTATACTTCCTTCCTGGTTACTGACTAATCAGTGCTTATTTGAAACATAATTGACAGAATACAGAATTGTCCCACACCAACTGTGTAGCCCTGGACGTCCTGGAACTCACTCTATAGACCAGGCTGGTCTGGATCTCATGAGTACTGGGATTAAAGGTATATGACATCACACCCTGCTGGTAATTTGATTTTTGAAACTTATTTTACTCCAATTCGTTGACGATACTGCATGGTTGCTCTTTCTTTATAATAAGATTGACCTGATCCCTTTAAAATGTGTATGCAATTTATAGCTGCTTGTTAAGTGTAAGAGAAAAATCTTACTAAAATTGTTGAAGCATTCAGTTTCTGGTTCCTGATGATATCTGAGCTTTTTGTTTGCTTTCCAAAACTATACTTTCTTTTTTTTTTAAATTCAAAGTTTATTAAATTATAAAAGTTTCCATTTCTGCCCCTCCTCCTAACACCCTCCCACTCCCCCCACACCCCCTCCTCCTCCCTCTCCATCCCTAAGAGCAGTCAGGGCTTCCTGCCCTGTGGGAAGTTCAAGTTCCTCCTCCCTCCCTCCAGGTCCAGGAAGGTGAGTATCCAAACAGACTGGATCCCAAAAAGCCAGTATATGCAGAGGAAACAAGTCCCAGTGTCATTGTCAATGGCTTTTCAGAAAGACTCCGGGCCAGCCACATTCAGAGAATCCGGCCTCATTCAGAGAATCTGGCTGGATCACGTGCTCGCTCAGTCCCAGTCAACTGGCCTTGGTGAACTCTCATTAGATCAGTCCCCTTGTATCAGTGGGTGATCGCATCCCTCGCGGTCCTGATTTCCTTTTTCATGTTCTTCCTCCTTCTGCTCCTCATTTGGACCATGGGGGGCTCAGTCCGGTGCTCCAATGTGAGTCTCAGTCTGTATCGCCATCCATCGTCGGATGAAGGTTCCCTCTGGTCTTGCCTTCTTTGCTCACGTTCTCTTTCCTTCTGCTTCTCATTTGGACCTAGGGAGTTAAGTCCAGTGTTCCAATGTGGGTCTCTGTCTCTATCTCCATCCATCGCCAGATGAAGGTTCTATGGTGATAAGCAAAATATTCATCAGTATGGTTATAGGCCAAGGCTGGTTCAGGCACCCTCTCCTCTGTCCAGAGAACAATCTAGGGATCTCTCCTTGGACCTGGGATCCCATTTATAATCAAGTCTCATGTAAACCCTAAAATGACTCCCTTAGTTGAGATATATTCTTCCCTGATCCCATATCCATCCTTCCTCCCTCCCCCCATCCCAGTCCCCCGAGTTTTCCCCATTCCTCCCCTACTCCCTTCTCTCTAACCCTCTCCCCTTCCAACAACCCTCCCACCCCCCCATGCACCCGAGGTTACCTGGGACTCTTGTCTATTTCCATTCTCCAGGAGGATAAGTACATGATTTTCTTCAGGTTCACCTTCTTATTTAGCTTCTCTAGGATCTCGAATAATAGGCTCAAAGACCTTTAATTATGGCTAGAATCCACTTATGAGTGAATACATACCATATTCCTCTTTTTGGGTCTGGCTTACCTCACTCAGTAAAGCGCAAAACTATACTTTCATCTTGATTTTGTCTCTTAACTTAATTTTATTCCATATCTCTCTATTTATTGTTTCTTTATTTTAAGTAATATTTTTATGCTTTACCATTCATTTTGTGTTTCTGATTTTAGAGAGAAGATCAACAACTGAGAAGAGTTGGTACAGAAATGCAAAGAAAAGACAATACATTTTTAGATATCAGTGTAGATATATATTAAATATACCTTATCACAAATGTTTAGGTCAGAGGTTCCTTTTTTTTTAGTTTTTAGAATATTTATATGTACATAGTAAGACATCTTGAAAGGAGCAATAAATATAGCTACAAAATAAACTTGTCTTTCATATACATTATGCAGATAGCCTAAAGGTAATTTTAGGGAATCTTTTCAATAAACCTGCATTTAACTTTTTAAAATTGATTTATTTATTTATGTAGGTATATATATATATATATATATATATGTGTGGGGGGTGGGTAGAGGCATGCACACTTAAATCATTGCTAGATAAAATAATATTATTAGATAATATTGTTAGATAAAATAATATTTAGGTAAAATAATTTATACAAAAGTAACAATATGAGCAACTATTGGATAGCAAGAATTCACCTCTATAGGGGGCTCCAACTAGCTCCTGTGGAACCAGCTAACAGCCTCATCTCAGCTGGTTTTACAGTCCCCGGCAGGAGAAGTTTCCAACTGCTAACCTTTGTTCTGCTCTGTCTTTGCCGTTTAGATTCTCTAAGAGAACTTAAAACTCGTTCTGAGCTTAACTGCTTTTAAAATATTACTTTCCTTTCTGTTTTTATGACTGCACACTATTGAAAATATCAAAATTAGTAAAACCAGGCCTGGGAGATGGCTTAGTGTAAGTGCCTGACAATCTGAGCTTGGGTCTCTAGGGCCCAAGCAAAACCCACATGGAACAGCTCAGGGGTCTTTCAGGAAGTGGGAGACAGAGACAGGAGCTCAAGGGTCAGCCAGCCCAGAGAGACCCATCTTAAACAAGCGGAAAGGTGAAGGACAACAGCTGAGATTGCACTCTGACCTTCACACCGGATACAGGGGCACGAGCCTGGCACCGCCACACACTTACATACACACTCACGCGTCTCTCTTTCTCTCTCTCTTTCACACACCCACGAATACACACTAACGCACATTTCAAAAAATAGCTCTACATTACACATTTATGTGTTCTCCATTTGAAAAGTGTGGTAAGATGAGTCTTGTCATCCCAAGTGAGCACATAAATCATCCCAGCTGAGCACATCAATCAAATCTCAGCATTTCCAGCCATGCTATCATCTCTCATGTTTGTGTTCATGAGTGAATTTCTCAGAGAAAGCAATAAAGTTAATTTTGAACAATTTAGTTTAGATATGAAAAATTTGATTCTATTTTTTAAAAGAAATGTTTAAGCTGAGTTTGAATAATTTTGAGGTCTCAGTGAATAATGGAAATGATTTGGAACAATGTACAGAATTCTAATGGAGTCACGTTCCCCAGCAATTATGAAGTTATCCATATCGTGACGGACTTGTCCCATTTCATGTGTCCTTGTCGGGGCATGCTGAGATCATCAGAGTCAGGATTCCTGTGTGCAAGGCAGACCTCTACCACTGAGCTGTGACTAGACCCTCCTCTTCCTCTGTCATTCTGTTTTTATTTTTCAAAAGACATGTGTTTCCTTATATTGCCCAGGCTGGCAGCTTGTAGCAATCCTCCTGTTTTGCTTCCGTAATATTAGGAATATAGGTGTGTTAAAAACATCCAGCCACATGATGTTTACAAAGTAAATTCCTCTGTGAAGAATTGACGGCGATGTATTTTCTGTTGCTGACAAGCTAGAGGCCTGCCCACTCTACCTAGCAAGTTTCAGGTCAGCCAGAACTGCACAGCTACACCTCGTTTCAAAGAGTCAATGGAGGCTGGAGAGATGGCCTGGTCCAGAGATTAGGAGTGCACACTGCTCAAGCAGAGGAGCCGAGTGTATTTCCCTGCAACCAACATCAGTGTGCTCACTATTGCCTGCAACTCCAGATCCAGGGAAACGTTAAGTCTCTGACCTCAGGGCACTGCACTCCTGCACACATACCCCTCCCCCCAGACACATAATTAAAGCACATGTTTGAAAAAGACCCATAATTTAGCATCTAGATTAAAAACAAACAATCTAGCACAAGAGGTAAGGTGAACATTTCTGGGATGATTTTCTCCTTCTCTGTCTCCATCAATGTTTCTCTGCTCCTTCTTTCCCGCTTCCCGCTTTCCCCACCTTTGACCTTGTGCAAGACGAATCGAATCGGCTTGCCCCTGAGGCCACAGTCACAAATCTAGTGTTTTCTCTGGTGGCTTCCTGTGATCTCAACCGGCAGCCGAGTGAAGGAGGTGAAAGGGTCATCTGCAGACCGTGGGGACACAGGAGTTGCAGCCTCGAGAGGCGCATCTCATGCTTAAATACAGAGCCCAGAGCAGCCGGCCAGGAGCTGCCCCAGGAGTGGGAGCCCGTGTCCTATGTGTTTGCTACAGAGTGGGAAATGAGCCAGGAGGGACAGACTGAGGGAGCACGGTGCTCCTTCGCTTGGTAAGACACGGGCACATTGGCTACTCTTGGTTCAATCGCTGTCACTCTGAATTACCTCTTAGGGAACTAAATACTGGTAAAGTAATGGAGATTGCATTATGAGAGAAGAGGGAAAAAATTCAGATTGTTTTGGGTGGCGTTGTGGTGTGTGTGTGTGTGTGTGTGTGTGTGTGTGCATGATTGGTCTATAGAGGGGAACCACACTTCGAATACTGATCTGTAAAACTAAATCTGGGACATTCCAAAAATCTCACTGTAACCCTAAAGAGCCATGGAGAGAGCCGATCTCTCGTTACCCTGCATGCTCCCTTACATAAGAAACTATGCAGGAGTGAGAAGCACTGGGGATGAAGAAATCAGTCCTTTTGCAGATAGTCCCCAAAGCAGGATGTTTGAGATATCTAACAGTTAAAATAGAAAAAGGATATCTGGTAAATCTGATGTGATGTGTCTTCTAGTTTTTTTTTTTTTTCCCATGTATTTTTATCATTGGGTTGTGGAGTACTATCTTTCAACTGTGGGAAATACATACACTTTGATATAATTTAAGCTTTGAATATCTGGGGAAAATCATCACATGAAGTCTTTTCCCATTTTTTTTTTTCCAGTTTGGGGCAATATGTTGCTTTCTTTCTAGTTTTTAGAGATGGAGTCTTGCTATGTCTTCTAGGCTGGCCTCCAGTTTGTAGTCCTCCTGCCTCAGCCTCCAAAATGCTGGAATAAAAGTGTGCACAACACGTCCATCTTAAATTTTCAAAATCAGTATTCCAGTCTTTGTGTCTGTTTCATTAGTCTGCAGACTTTTCGCTCCAGAGCCAACGTTGAACGGAGAAGTCACATTTCTTTCTCCTCTCTAGAATTATTAGCCAATCTTTCTTCCCACTTCTGAAAATGACCAACAATTTCCCATGCTTTCCTGAGTGACAACAGAAAATACAGTAAATAATTTACCCCTCTTCTGCTCAAGTTAGGGGGAAATGTTATGGGTTAAAAGAAGAGCAAGGCAGTAACTTCCTATTGTGAAAGAGTGGGGCTAGGAAGGATTTCAGGTTTTATTGTTTAAAAAAAATTTTTGTATTTTTTTTAAATTTGAAAATTGAGTTAAAATTTAACTAATTTAGGGAGGGGAATCTTTAGCATGTCAAGCTTTAAAATTGCACACAAAAATTCATCTCTACTCACCTCCCTGACAGTTTGGCTATAACAAAGCACTACCCAGCAGTCAGATGGGTGTTTGCAGCTGCTGGCCAGGAGCTCAGGATAGGAATTTAGTGACATTATCTTAGCTCTTCTTTCAGGTAACCATTTTAAAATACTGGGTGTGTTTTACTTTTTCTTCTATTTCCAGCTAATGTTTATCTGTTTAATTATCTCTCAAGTACATGCAATTATATTTTAGTCTATCTTCTGTCACAGTCGCACCTTTAGCTATTTCCTTAGTACATGCTAACTACGCAACAGCAATGAGAGCAGATACTGGTAGCTGCTAGAAGTGTTTCGTTACACTTTTTAAGAGCCCCCCGCCCTCCGGAACTGGGGTGCAGTTCACTGTTAGAGTACTCACAAAACATGCTTACAATCTTGGTTTGGTTTGGACCCCTCCCCTCTCAAAAATATACTTTACTACCGCGGGGCAAGTTCGGTTTTCTGTGGTTTTGTTATGGCCCAAGGCTCCAAATCAATCCAAGCAGACCCAGAGGTTACTGCAAAACAAGATTTAATGCAGGGCAGCACAAAAGAGGGAGGAAAGCACAGGGGGCTGATGGATCAGGGCTGCAGGACAGACTTAGCAGGTGAACTGCGACTCCAAATGCCAGATGAATCGAGAATTTAAGCCTAAAAGAGATCATAAACATTTGGTGCCCAGTTACAGTTACAATTTGCATCAATCAGGATTTAGAGGTTAGAGGCTTCCTTGAACGTTCCATTGTTGTCAACCAACATACAATGCAAGCTTTTCCCTCCCACCAGTAAGATTCACTGGCTCCTTCCAAATGTGTAACTACTATTTCTGTGGCTTAAGGAGGAAGTGGGTCAGTTATTGGCGGGTTCCCAGCTCTCCTTGGGCTTTGGGTCCTGAGTTTTGTTTCACCTACAGGTAAAATGGAGTCCGAAGTCAAAACAGCAGTACTCAGGTCAAGGTGCTTTTGCCTGCTCCCTGAATTCAGCATTAGCCTGACAAAACTGAAACTTAAAACTTTAATAACCATACAGTGACATGTTGGAGATCGTACAATTACATTTGGGAAAAGAAATTTTGGTGAATAAGCAGGAGTGGGAAATGCCCAAGGGGTTTTGTGATTCTTGGTTATCTCTAAAGTTAGTCTTTAAAAAAAAAAAATTTTTTTTTTTTGGCTTGGTCTTTTGAGACAGGGTTTCTCTCTGTAACAATCCAAGCTGTCTTAGAACACTCACTGTGTAGACTAAGCTGGCCTTTAACTCACAGATCTCCACCTGCCCCTGCCTCCTGAGTGTTGGGTTTAAACGTGTTTGTCACAACCACCTGGGAAAGTTAACTTATTCAATGAAGTAACTGGGTGTTTAAGATTTTATTATTTTTTTTAGTCTCACAGTTTGGGAGCCAAAGTGATATGTAATCAAATAATCTGTGCTGTGGATCTGATTGTGTTGTGTGGAGCTTTATAAATGTTTTCCTGTCTTATAGTTGACTTGCTACTGCTTAATTTCTCAACTTCACTTTAATTGCAATATTAGTAGATACAATTAAAAAAGAAATCAATGCTAACCTTAAGAGTAAAATTTCTATATCTAAAGCTAATAAAATGTGCTATAGCAGTAATATGTCAAACAATGCACAGACCCTGGAAACGGTTGCTGAAGCATCACAGCCAATGATAAAAATCCCCATGTCAAACCTGCTGTGTTCTTAGTACCGCCTTCTTCATGTAATCGTGGTTCAGGATGCATTTGTGTGTTCACTTTCCCACGGGGTCAGTGAGTTTTAGTCTGTTCTCAGGCCAAAGTCCATTTCTTCAGTTTGGTTTTTGATCTCACAAATGCTTGCTATTGGCTATTGAAAAGACGTGTCCAGTGTGATCAATGGAAAAACAACCCCGTGCTAAAGCCTGGGTGAGTCAGCCCCATTGTTTTCAGCTTATTAAAGTTATAACACGACAGGTTAAACAACATATACCCATATGTTAGATTTGTTAACAATTGGAAACTTGGAACTGGTCTCCCTGCAGATCCTCAACCACAACTCTACTTCCTGAATGCAAATGCTAAAAGAAGCGAGAGCCCATGAGATTTATGGAGTCTGTTATTTTAGTCATTTTTCTACATTTTGCTTATTACTGATGTACAATCTTGCAATGTTGACCACACTTTTCCTCTAAGTTCTGCAGACTCTATTTTTCACATTACAAAGAGACATGCTTCTCATGGGCAGAGGCAGAAGCATTTGTGGCAGGTGCAAAAGAAACAGCACAACTGTGGGTTAGAATCATCATTTAATCTGATTTACAATTCTACAACGCTTGATCATTCTCAGGTGGGCTTTAATATAGAAAATAGGTTAATAGAACTGCATAAGAAAAATTCTTGATCAGAGTATGGAATTAGGTCTATTAAATTAATAAGATGGCATATGCTTCTATCTGGGATGTATGGGTGTTGGATAACAGTATCAATTCAAGATTTTTCAGTTGCTTTCCTACTCGGGTGTGGCCTCAAACTAATATTGTTGTCATCTCCTGAGAGCTAGTCAGAATGCAAACTTGCGGCCTCCCACTTCAGAATCATAGTCCACATTTTGGAAAGATCCAAAATGATTCATAACACACATGAGGTTTGAAGAAAACATTCCTGGTTCCTAGTGACTTCCAAGTTGGTTCAGACTTGCAGGCTAGCTAAGATTCTATGGACAATGGCCCTGCCAAGAGTTTTATTGCTCTTTTTCTTTTTTTCTTCACAGAAAGAAACACAGCTCTTAAGAAAAGGACACATACTACCCACAAGACAAAGGCAATGAGTGTGCCTGACCTCTGGAGCCCCCCAGAAGCACAGTTTTGCTTTGCTGCGACAAACAATTCCTGCCCTATGAAGGCAAGGCCCACATACGTTGTCTGCGCCATGTACCTTGTCATGATTGGAGCAATAGTGACAACCATGCTTGGAAACATGGTCGTGATCATTTCTGTTGCCCACTTCAAACAGCTCCACTCCCCAACCAACTTCCTTATTCTCTCTATGGCCACCACGGACTTCCTGTTGAGCTGTGTGGTCATGCCTTTCAGCATGATCAGGTCCATCCAGTCCTGCTGGTATTTTGGAGACCTCTTTTGCAAAGTTCACAGCTGCTGTGACATCATGTTCTGCACCACCTCCATTTTCCACCTCTGCTTCATCTCAGTTGACCGCTACTATGCCGTGTGTGACCCCCTGCACTATGTCACCAAAATCACCATCCCTGTCATAGAGGTCTTTCTACTTGTCAGTTGGTCAATTCCCATCCTTTTTGCCTTTGGTTTGGTATTCTCTGAATTAAATCTGATCGGTGTCGAGGACTTTGTTGCAGCTGCTGACTGTACAGGTCTCTGTGTGTTGGTATTTAACAAGCTCTGGGGGGTGCTAGCTTCCTTCATAGCCTTTTTCCTGCCTGGGACGGTCATGGTGGGGATTTACATACACATTTTCACAGTGGCCCGGAAGCATGCCAGGCAGATTGGCACAGGTCCTGGGACAAAACAGGCCATCTCAGAAAGCAAAGTGAAGGTCACCTCCAAAAAGGAAAACAAGGCCACCAAGACCTTAAGCATCGTCATGGGAGTGTTTGTGTTGTGCTGGCTGCCATTTTTTGTCTTGACAATCATAGACCCTTTCATTGATTTTACAACCCCGGAAGATTTGTATAATGTTTTCCTCTGGCTAGGTTATTTTAATTCCACTTTCAATCCCATCATCTATGGCATGTTCTACCCTTGGTTTCGCAAGGCCTTGAGGATGATAGTCACAGGAATGATCTTTCGCTCGGACTCTTCTACCTCAAACCTGCATCCCGCACATCCTTAGCCCGACTTTAGCCAGACTTCTTTTTAGAGAAATGTTCTTGGATGCTCTTTCTTCCCAGGGAAGGAGGAGTGGGCTGGTTAGATGAGAAAAAATTTCCAGCAGACATTATGGCCACCTGAGAAATCAGTAGATCTAGTGTGCTTTTTGTTGTTGTTACTGTGTGTGTGTAAGTGTGTGTGCACGCATGCACGCGCACCCGTGCCAAAGCTCACAGAGTGGTTCATTTTTGGGCTGCTACATAAGTCATTTATTTGAACAAACAAGAAGACCAATTTCCAACAGATGCTGGTGACTCCGGAATTGCGAAACTTTAGGATTTACTCCTTTGGCTTAGATTTAATGACAGTGTCCTCACTTAAACTTGGAACGAGACACAGACACCCTCAACAATCCCTGACAGCCATGCAGTGCATCTCTAATGACCCACACTTTACTGAGACCTTTGCTGTTTGTAGAGAGGATTGATAAAGAGTTTGAACATAGCAGAAGCCAAGATTAAGGAGAATGCCACAAGAGCAGGTAAAACGAGGCAGGCAGCTATCAATACTTTCAGGTTTAAGCCTCTTTTCAGGAAGAATTGATGAGGGATTTATCATATCTGATAACATCAAAGTCTTAGGAAATGAGAAAAAGAAGAAAGAGTCTTAGGAAAATTTGCCTTTTTTCATTTGATGTACATCTTTGCTGTCTAATTATATGTATATATTCTGTGAGCATATGTACTGATTGTGTGTGGGGGGATGCATATGTGCAGCATGTTTTGGGGACAGGAATATGTGTGTATGGGGCAGGAGTATCATGGGTTGAGAGTATGTGTGTGTTTGGTGTGGTGTGGTGTGCATGTGTGTATAGTATGTTGTGTGTGTATACTCTGACTGTTAGCCAAGTATGAACATTGTTTACAAAACTGAACTATTTTCCTCTTCCCATATGTTTGGGACATTGTTGTCTTACTGAAAGTCATTTCTCCATGTCCTCTTCATCTTTCCCTTCATCCTATCTCTCATGTATTTCACTAGCGTCTGCCTCTCACCATCTTAGTTTCTTCTGTGTGATTCATGCAGTAATATCAGAGCACTTGGTCAACTAGAGTCTCCTTATCTACTCACTTGGCCAAGTGACATCACAGTCAATTGTAGGACACTATGACATTGGAGGTTCTGGTGCTCATGTCTGTAAGTCTTAAGTGACCCCTTTGTGAGCCTGTTTTCATCCTTGATCTACACTTGGCTCAGCATCTCCACTGGCCAACTACTCCTCAGTTAAAAACACCTCGAAAGGAACATTTCTATTCCCAGCTTGGAATCCTCTGGGAATCTCTTGACCTGCACATACTATTAAATATCTGAACTTTCAGAGATCAGGATTTGATCTGAATAGAGCACCTTCAAAGGTACCAACAAGGTTCAACAAGTTACTCTTATTATCACAGGACAATAGTTGAAGTGAAATTAGGCTTTAAGTGCTTGGCCGCAGTTTACTGTCTTGTGGTTAGGGTCATTTAACCCTTTAGATATCCTTCACCCTGAAAGCCGATGGCAGCACCGGAGGCTGAATTATCCTTTCTTTTCAAAGAGCCAAAGGCACAGGGGAGTTACTCTGGGCCTTACCTCAATTCGGGTCTTGAAGGTACAAGATGCCCTCTTATAATTAATTACAGGGACAGCTTGAGACTCCCTTCTATGGTGGGCCTCCTTCTGTCTGGTAACTCAACAAAGTCCTTTGCATTGCTGAATCTTAGTGACTGAATGCGAAGGGCATTCACTAATCATGTGGTCGTTCTTTCTATTGATCCTGAAAACAGCACACAAGCTGTGGTAAGATGAGGAGCGGGGGCCTGAGGCTTTCTAACAGAATTTTCTATAAGAAGACCAACTAAGGGGAAATGTAGGAGCTGGTGGAAGCCTCTATCAGAGTCAGAGTCATTCCTTATGTTAAGGAATTTTATAGTTTACAAAAGTGTCCATGAATATTACTAAACTGTTTTCCAGAACATTATGGTATACTCTTCCTACGACTGTTTAAGCAGACATGAAATATCATACCACATATCCTTCAATTCTTCACTTTAGAAGACCCCTCTGGGATGGACAGAGTGGCCATTATCTCAGGAAGTTGGTGACTTCCATGGATACATGGCTCTGTACCAAAGCACATAAAGGTTAATAAACACTTATTTAGCCCTATTAGGTGTCTGTGGCTTCTCTGAGTGCTGTGGTTCAGAGATGAATGTATCAAGGGGTCGCTGCACCAGTAGGGGAAGAATACCAGGACGAAGGGTGATGGATGCTATGAAAAATTTAGACACGGGACACTTTGAGAGCACACAGGGAGAAAACTTAGCTTCATGTGGATACAGTGGAGTCTGTGTGCCTTTTAAGTCAAGGAGACATATTAAGTTAAGCAAGTCGGGCAACACCTCCACTAGAGTAGAGATAAATGCCAAGGAAGGTAGCCGGGCCATCATAGGAAAACCACTAAGCTCTCTCATGACGCTTGTTTGAGAAAGCAGGCTGGTACAGGAGCTTCCAAGCACTGAAGCGAGGGCTGCCAAGTGAGCTGGTAAAGACAGCGGTGAGCAGTCACCTCTGGATAACAGGTGCTTTGCAGTCTGTGCTCATGAGTTTTACAGCAAACCCAGGTGCTTTGCAGTGCCAGCTGTCGGGAAGACAAGCTGGATGCGGACCAGAGACAGTACCCATTGGCTCTTCCTTCTCTCCAGCTTAGTAACAACGTACTGCGAGGTGCAGAATGATGGTCACTGCTGCTTTTGTCCTTTTGAGTCTTGAGAGCATCTTGTATGCAACTCTTTAATTTGGGATCGTGTCCAAAAAGAGTTCTATCAGTTCGTGTGCCCATGAACTGGAGACCATCAGTAGAGTATGTGTATGAGGTACATGGTAGAAAAGAACTGTTCACATCATGGCCGCTAGACAGCCGGCAAAGAGGTATAAAAGAAGGGATCAGGGCAAGATTTAGCTGCCAAGGACACATCCCAATGACCTGCTCTTTTTGACCAAGCCTCATCGCCTCCCATCTTTCCTTCCATTGGGCCCATCAAGTACAAATCAATGAAGAGATCAACTTATTTATTATAAAGTCAGAGTCTTTATGATCTAATCACTTCTGGATATACCCTCAGGTGTGTTTTACTACTCTTCTAAGTGTTTCTCATCTGCTGGGATTAAATAGTTAGAAAATTAAATGAAATACATTATACCACTAGCCTGGAGCATAGTAAGTGATCAGCAAACTTAATTTCTCTTGCTATTTTGCATGCTTTCGAAGTTTATACTCTATTAGGTGCTTGTTTAAGTTTCTTCTTCATGTTGCCTTTGAGGTGGTTCTTAAGGAATTTATGTTTTATTGTAGCATGCTGGCAAATGTCTTCAGCATGTGGACTCTCTGATGTCTTTCGAATGTCCCCACTTTCTGATGCCCCCTCTTCATTTTGCCTGACCTCCTCTGTACTGTATGCCTTAATAAATAGTTATTCCTTGATTCCCAAAGACTGCATGCCCTACTTATATGCTTGTGCAAAGTTCTCTGTACTTCATTTATAGCATTCTGTAAGATGCTTAACTCTAGATTCCTGTCTCTTTCCAGGACCCCATTAATACAATCTTCGTGAGAGGAAGGGCTGAGCTTAAAGTCTCTTCCAGTAGCTGACACCCATCAGCTGCATAGGAAACATGGATCCACTATAATGGAATATGCCCCAGACATGCTAGCACAGTAATGATACAATAAATAACACTCTGCAGTTTAGTGCTTAACCTTACCACACAGGCACCAAGTGAGTCAGGACGGGATACACAACCCAGCTTAGAAGTCCTGCTGCTGCTCTGTGAGGGCTATGTTGCCTGTAAGGATCTACAGTCCTTGGAGGTGGCACAGTGGGTTCTGAAAAGGTGTTTCAAAGGCATGGAGAAGATGATGGTGAGACAGGGGAAGAGCACAGCCTTTGGTTAGGATTTATACTATAACATCACTTGTCTGTGCTCTATGGAAGTACTCTTGGTGGCAGACCTTCATCTTCCCATGGCCAGCATCAACTCCTACATCATCCTGGTTTTCTTTTTAAAATATATACCATGTCTCATTCTTATATGGATTCATTAAAATCTTTCTTTAGTCCTTTCTAGAATAAGGGGTGGTGGTGGTTAGTGATAATGCATTCTTGGAACTAGCCATAACAATTCAAGGGCTACATTCCAGAGAGATAACCACACAAATTTGAACCATGTATACTAAAGATATTTCTATGGGAAACTATGAATAGTAGTAAAAGCTTGGAATAACATGAGTGTCTTCAGTAGAGGATGGATTAAATAAATTATAGTGTAATTCTTACAACAATATATTTTGCCATCTGTTGTGGAATATTTGAAGATGTGTTACATTTGTTTATGCTGTGGAACATTTGTTTAATGATGCAAAGATGTGTTGCACTCTTTTATGCTGCATTTGCTTTGCTCTGTGAGGCTGTGCTTCTTTGCCTGTCTAAAACAACTGATTGAGCTAATAAAGAATTGAATGGCCATTAGCAAGACAAGAGAAATGATAGGCAGGGCTAAAAGGCAAAGAGAATAAATAGGAGGAGAAATATAGAAAAAGAAAGATCTAGAAGCAAGAAAAGATAGGGCCAGCCACATAGCCATACAGACAGAATAAGAAGGGGAGAAAAAGATATACAGAAATAAAGGTAAAAGCCCAGAGTCAAAAGGTACATGGGATAATTTAAGTTAAGAAGAGCTGGCTAGAAACAAACCAAGCTAAGTAAGAATAACTTTGTGGCTAGCCCCAAACATAGGGGTGAAAAGTAGACTCTAAAAACCCAATGTGCTTAAATTGTATCTCTAATTAATTGTCATATTATAAGCCTCTCTAATTAATTGCCATACTGCAAAGGAAAGGAAGCAATAGAGACTGTGAGCAGTGAGAACCGGTCCCTTGGCACCCTTTCACTGTTTGCTAGAATCACCCCACACGGAGGAGCA